AAAAAAAAAAAAAAATTAAATCTGTAATTCAATACACCTAGGAAAGCCTTGATATTTTATCATAACATCTTAAAACCTTAATTCATCTTCATTGTATATCTAGAACAAAGAATACTTTTAAGATAAATTATTAGAAACATAAACTTCTTTTACAAAATAAAATTTAAGTTACCTGCTACCTACCCACTTCCCTTAGTTTGTTTCTGTCCGTGACATGTAGGTAGGACATGAACTTAAAATCCCTTCCTATTCTTCGTTTCTTTTTTCTGCTGGTTCTTTGGATGGACCTGACACTGTTCCAGAAAAGATATATAAATACATTTTTTTCTAAAAATGAAGGTTTGAAATATTCATAGCTTACATGATTTTTGTCAAAGAAGCTGAGATATGTTGATTTTGAGAGGCGAGTAAAACATCCAGGGGGAGATTCTAGCAAGCTGTAGATACGGTACCAAGATTCAGGAGAACAGTTTTGGAGATACTGATTGCTAGGTCTTCAGCCCAGCCGTGCAAGCTGAAGTCCCGGGCATGAGAGCAAATTCTGTTGGGAAAGTTGAGAGCAACATGAGCTTAGGGCCTGAGGACTGCAGCTTGGGGACCCTTCCTCCCACATGCAGGTGAAAGGAAGACATGGATCCTGCAGGAAAGCCAGAGAAGGAGGAGCATGGGAGGCAGGAGAGAAACGGGGCTGTGTGGAATCACGGGGGCACGTGGAAGAGAGAGTGTCAAAGAGGAAAAACCCTGTCTGCATGTCACATGCAGCCAGGAGGTCGACAACATCAAGTAGTGAGCAAAGGGGGCGCCTGGGTGGCTCAGGCGGTTAAATGTCTGCCTTCAGCCCAGGTCATGATCTCAGGGTCCTGGGATCATTCCGCACGTCGGGCTCCCTGCTCAGCGGGGAGCCTGCTTCTCCCTCTCCCTCTGCCTCTCCCCCTGCTTATGCGCTCTCTCTCTCTCTCTTTCTCTTTTCTGTCAAATAAATAAAATCTTTAAAAAAAAGTGAGAGGGCGCCTGGGTGGCTCAGTTGGTTAAGCGACTGCCTTCGGCTCAGGTCATGATCCTGGAGTCCCGGGATCGGGTCCCACATCGGGCTCCCTGCTCGGCGGGGAGTCTGCTTCTCCCTCTGACCCTCTTCCCTCTCGTGCTCTCTCTCTCTCATTCTCTCTCTCTCAAATAAATAAATAAAATCTTTATTAAAAAAAAAAAAAGGATGCTAGTACTGAGAGCCTGTAACTCAGTGTGCTTACAGTTGGTGCTGGTGGACCTCACATGATCCCACCATGAACCTTTGCACGGCATACCCTTTTTGTCTCACTAATTCTTTGTGTTTTACTTTGTGTCTCGGTTTTTTCAGACTACCTCTAGGTCAAAAGAAATACCTCACAATTCCATTTTTAGGATAGTTAGGTCCAAACAACTTAATACATATTAATGTTCTAACGATGTAGAACCCACTTGAAAAGATAATACATGTCGAAATAAAAATAATTTCATTCTTAAATAACCACAATTACTTACTAATGGATGTGTGTGCCTGTTGGGCATGGAACAATTTCTGAAGTCTTGGAATCAGATTGAATACTGCCACCTTTTTTCTTGTTCCATATTGATTTTTTGCTTTGGAAAGAGATGATAGCATTGAAAGAAATGTAGCGGGACTTAATGGGGGAACTGTGAACTACTTCAAGCTGGTAGTTCACATGGTGTCTGACAAATAATGGAGTACTGCTGTATTTCCCTTGGAAGTTTGAAATATCTTTGGGTACCCCTATGAGTCCACTGCTGTATTACGGATGGGGCACCTTGTTATATAGTTTGGGAACCACGGGTTTATCCTTCATCAGATGAACAAAATGAAAAGCTTGATAGAAAGAGCCATGATGTGTATGATGTGTGTGTGAGTGAGTCTATGTTTTGGTGATCATATCCAGACAGCAGGTAGTTTTTGGTCCTGCTGTCTCACCTACCTCACAACATTGTGAAGGGCTTAAGTCCAGTACAGTTACTGCTCAATTCCTCTTGCAAACATGTTTATCCCCAATTCAGCATCAAATAAAACCTGCCAATACAAGTTTGCATGCATGCACCAGCAAAGATATTTACATTATTTGAGGGTCCCAGGGAGAGGAATATAGTGCACAGCACTCTTGGCTGGTCTCCTGATAGGATTGTGTTTTTCCCTTGTGTTGTGTGAATATGTTATGTGTTATCATCACCATCTTCTCCACATTATTTAGTGAAAATGTCTTGCAAGAACATGGAAAAACATATAGAGAAAGCAAATTCACTGAAGAGGCTAGAAAGACCTAACTAGCCAAACAGAAGGGATTAAGGTTTTTATTTTATTTTATTTATTTATTTGACGGAGAGAGAGAGACAGTGAACACAAGCAGGGGGAGTGGGAGAGGGAGAAGCCGGCTTCCCACGGGGCTCGATCCCAGGGCCCCGGGATCATGACCTGAGCCGAAGGCAGACACTGAACGACCAAGCCACCCAGGTGTCCTGGGATTAAGGATAATGAGAGAGATGGCAGCTTGAGGACATAAACTTGATGATTTTCATGGTCCCATTTACTGCACACATCTAATTTTTTACCAACACCAAGTATTAAAGACTTAGACAACTGGTGTTTTATATATTTTATATTATACAAAAATCTGTATGGAGTATTATATAGGTTTAAGGATGTTTTAGTAATATTTGGGGAACTTGGATAGAATTTTTGGGTGGGCTGGGAGAGCAATATCTTTTTTTCCATTTAAAATAATGGAATCTAGGCTACTGCTAAACAAAATGCACTATCCACAGGTATATTTAGTCACAGATTAGATTCCATTCACAAAAGATGTTTGTTTTCAGAACATTTAAGTGCTACATATATGTAAGTTTTTACTAGTACTATTAATATGTAGAATGTATATGTCTTTCTTAGTGTCCCCTAATTGCTCAGGGTCTCAGATAAAGTTGAAAAATGTCTTTTCTCTTTCAGCAGCCTACCTCCCCTACGACGCCCACCAAGCCCTTGGTGCCCCTGGACTGGGCTTCAGGAGTGGTGCCGAAGCCAGACCCCACAGTCATCAACAAGCACATAAGAAAATTAGTCGAGGTAAGTGGTTGAGAGAGTGGAAATTGAGCACTAGAAGGCCCCTTTCTCTTTCCAGAATATTCTGTCATTGCCCAAGAATCAGCTGAAGTCAATGAAAACAGCCCTGTAGCAGGTAGGAGCAATTTAGCAGACACTTAGCTCTCCTTGGCATTGGCCTCTGGGGGAGAGTATCCCAGAAAGGCCCTCTTTTCCCTTCTTGTCATTCTGTTCTCATTTGCCCAAATACCCTCAGCTACTTCCAGTTCTTTCGGTAGCATTTGATGCCTCCACTACTGCCCCTGCAACTTGAGGGACTGTTTGGGGATTAGAATCTACTCATGAGAACCTACATGGATCACAATGAAATGCCCACTGAATTGATTATGTGAGGGTAGGAAAAGATCCTGTAGGGGAACAGTTTCTCTTGCTGTATATATTGGGGTCTGGGACACAGTAGCACAATGCCATTTGGGTCAGAAACATCACTTAATGATGGGAAAGTCTCTATCAGAGTTTTCCACATAGAAAGAAAAGTAGAGGGGCCCCTGGGTGGCTCAGTTGGTTAAGCGTCTGCCTTTGGCTCAGGTCATGATTCCGGGGTCCTGGGATGGAGCCCCTCCACCCCACCCCGCAGCTGGGCTCCCTGCTCAGCAGGGAGTCTGCTTCTCCCTTTTCCTCTGCCTCTCCCCCTACCCCGATCATGTGCTCTCTCTCTCAAAATAAATAAATAAAATCTTTAAAAATAATAAAAAGAAGAGTAGAAGTGCCAATGTGCAGAAAATGGAAACATACCTGGTACTAAAAACTATGATCCCTGATTAAACATCTGCTTTAATGGATGGGTACGATGCAATAGGATCGTGTCTTTGGGATAAAATGAACATTTTGCCAGGGATGGATGGTTAAAGGAAAAGAAAGAATGTTCTACATCTTGGATCATCCAGGGAACTATAGTGCACTGGAAGAAAAGTTCTGTGGAGCATGTGAGGCAGCAAGGAAAGGTCAGAAAGGATGAAGGAAGGCATTGAGAAGCATAAGGTCCAGTGGAGACCATGTGTTGATGTTGTGGTCACAGACCCAACTCGGAGCCAAGGAAGGGGGATGGGATCCAGGCAGGACAGAATTGCAGCTCAGGAAGGTCTGGCACCAGGAAACGAAAGACAATGATTCTCTCTCTCTCCTCCCTTATGCCATCTCTCTTATTTTCTCTCCATTTCCATTTTCATGGGGGGAAGGTTGGCCCAGTTTGGATAAATTGCCTACTTTGGGCTCAGTCGAATGAAAGGCTGGGTTTTATTATGAAATTTGCATACTGAATTTTATTCTACAAAAAGATTGTACTTTCAACAAAAATATGGATTTTAGGCTACAAATAGTAGGCACTCTACAATGGTCAATTTTAAGCAATTTTGATTGTAGATAAATATTGATATTGGGACTTGCAAAAAAAGGTAATGCTTTATGATTTTGTACAATTCAGTTATCTATAGATAAACTTACAATGGGTGCTAAACAGTCATATTTTTAATGAAGTAATTTGTTCATTTATACCTTGGTCATCTCCCAAAACACTCCTGAAGCAGTTTGCTATATAGGGCAATACGAATGAAATAGAATAGACAGAAACCATCCGGAAAAGGGAGAAAGACTTGTTATAATCTTGCATACATGTGTTTCTGGGGAGAACTTAACAAACCTTTTTGAAAACCCGATTTAGCAGAGAGCAATGGAAGCCTCCTTTTATTTTTCTCTGATTATAGAGTCAGAATCACTGTAAATATGCAAACTTTTCATAAAATATAGAGAATCCAAGTTTTACTTTTAAGTCGTGGGAATTCTCTCTAGGGATAAACGCTGATAATTTGTAAATTATCTCGTATGACTTTATTCCCCCCCCCATAAACACACTCACACCCACGTATGCCCCTGGGTAACATTGTTCAACTATTTTCCTAGAACAGATTCCACTAAGTGGAACTGCTGGGTCAGAGAGTAAGCAGACTGATCTCCAGAAAGACTATGGCTATTGACTTCATCAAGTAATATGAGAGTGCCTATTTTCTCATACCCTAGGAAATTACCAATTATCTTAATGTTTTCCTATCTGAGAGGTTAAAAAAAGTTTTCTTTGCATTTCTATAATTATTAGCAGAATTGAGCATTTTCCATGAATATATTGGCCATTTGTATTTTTACTTTGGTGATCTCCTGTTTTCCTTTTATGTCTTTGCTCTCATGTATATTGCAAGCAATCTTCTCTGTCATTTATCTTTAAATTTGTTAGCTGAGCTTTTTTGATTCAGATGCATTTTATGTAATAAAATGTTTTCGTTTATAGCTGCTGACTTTGATGTCATGGTAAGAAAGGCCTTTCCTACTCAAAGATCACAAAACATAAAAAATATTTTTATCTATTTACCTTTCATATTTCTGTATCTTTATTTTTTACATTAAAATATTTAATGCATCTAGAATTTAGTTTAGGGGCACCTGATTTTGTAAGATTATTAGCCATTACCTCAACAGTAATTACTGGATAATTTTTAATTTCCCTATGGATTTGAAGACATACTTTTTGAGATTCTAAAACCTGTATATACATAGATCTATTTCCAGACTGTGCTTACCTGTAGTAAGTTATGGTACCATGTTGTTTTGATTAATGTAGCTTTGTAGATTATTTGATTTCTGATAGGACACATTCTCCCTCATTACCGCTCATCTTAAACAATTTTAGGCTATTCTCAACATGTTCACTTCTATTTGAACTTTAGAATCAATTTGTTCATTTAAAACAAATTCTCACTGGAATTCTGACTGGAATTATATTAAAAGTATACTTGAAGTTTTTGGATAATTTAACATTTTAAAGCTTCATTTTCTATCGGCATGGTACTGGCATTTGTGAATTCACCAAGCTTAACTCCTACTAAAACTGAAGTCTCAGTTTAGACCTCACTTTCTCCAGGAAACCTTTTAAAATCTCGCTCCTGTCTCCCCTCCCCTCATGGCACCCTGTTTTTATCCTCAGCATTGCACTTCTTGTACCATAAAGGCTTCTTGATTTCATTATCTCCCACTGGATTCTAAGCTCCTTGAGAGAATAATATGCTAGTTATCACTGCTTCCCCCATAAGTTCAGAACCTGACTCATAAATATTTATTCCATAAATATTTGTGTTTCCTTTGCAGTCTGTGTTTAGAAACTATGACCATGACCATGATGGGTACATCTCCCAAGAGGACTTTGAAAGTATAGCTGCCAATTTTCCCTTTTTGGATTCCTTCTGTGTGCTGGACAAAGATCAGTAAGTTTTAATTTTGTTATATATTTTTTTTAAGATTTTATTTATTCATGAGAGACAGAGAGAGAGAGAGAGAGGCAGAGGGAGAAGCAGGCTCCCAAGGAGCAGGGAGCCCGATGCGGGACTCGATCCCAGGACCCTGGGATCATGACCTGAGCCGAAGGCAGACGTTTAACCACCCAATTTTGTTACATTTTAATGCAACTGTCCTGAAGCAGAAAATTAGTGTCAGAGGAGAACAGGGGTACCTTTAATGTACATCCTGACAGCCTTAATGCCAGCGTGTTGATGAGACAAGTCCAATGTTCTGCTGATTTTTTTCTTGGTGTCCACAAACATGACTGGTTGGATGAAATCACAGGGCAGACTACACCATCAGTGTTGAGTGTGAGTGCCCATTTGCAAATGAGCGTGAGTCTCCATTCCCCACATTACCTCTGCTTAGCTATTTCATCAATCCCCCAAGCCTCCATCAAAAAGAGTAGGGGAGAAAGATAGTTACACCTAGGCTGGTACAGTCCTCAGCATCAGTGGACTTAAGGGCAAGACTAAAACTCACCAAGTAAGTAAAATTATTTTAAGTTACTTATGGTCTTCAGAAAAGCAGGTGATATCTACAGAGAGCCAAGAAGTGTCCTCGCTTTGTTTCTCTCTTCGCTAGCTCAAAGGTTGTTTTGATAAATGAAGTAAAAATATATTTCTGCTAAGATCCAGCTCATTAGAAAACAATGATAAAATATATACATATTGTGGAGAAACACTGGCATTAGTAGTCTGACTGCTTAATTTTTAATTCTGTGAGATTAGTTCCTAGTTTAAAAATCATCTGTAACGAGGTGTTAGATTTTATATTGGTGAAATGTCCAAATTATATCACCTTAGAATTCTTTAATATTTTTGTTCATGTGAGAATTTTTAAAAAATTAAATCTGGGACGCCTGGGTGGCTCAGTCGTTAAGCGTCTGCCTTCGGCTCAGGTCATGATCCCAGGGTCCTGGGATCGAGTCCCACATCGGGCTCTCTGCTCTGCGGGAAGCCTGCTTCTCCCTCTCCCACTCCCCCTGCTTGTGTTCCTGCTCTCGCTATCTCTCTCTCTGTCAAATTAAAAAAAAAAAAAAAAATTAAATCTGTAATTCAATACACCTAGGAAAGCCTTGATATTTTATCATAACATCTTAAAACCTTAATTCATCTTCATTGTATATCTAGAACAAAGAATACTTTTAAGATAAATTATTAGAAACATAAACTTCTTTTACAAAATAAAATTTAAGTTACCTGCTACCTACCCACTTCCCTTAGTTTGTTTCTGTCCGTGACATGTAGGTAGGACATGAACTTAAAATCCCTTCCTATTCTTCGTTTCTTTTTTCTGCTGGTTCTTTGGATGGACCTGACACTGTTCCAGAAAAGATATATAAATACATTTTTTTCTAAAAATGAAGGTTTGAAATATTCATAGCTTACATGATTTTTGTCAAAGAAGCTGAGATATGTTGATTTTGAGAGGCGAGTAAAACATCCAGGGGGAGATTCTAGCAAGCTGTAGATACGGTACCAAGATTCAGGAGAACAGTTTTGGAGATACTGATTGCTAGGTCTTCAGCCCAGCCGTGCAAGCTGAAGTCCCGGGCATGAGAGCAAATTCTGTTGGGAAAGTTGAGAGCAACATGAGCTTAGGGCCTGAGGACTGCAGCTTGGGGACCCTTCCTCCCACATGCAGGTGAAAGGAAGACATGGATCCTGCAGGAAAGCCAGAGAAGGAGGAGCATGGGAGGCAGGAGAGAAACGGGGCTGTGTGGAATCACGGGGGCACGTGGAAGAGAGAGTGTCAAAGAGGAAAAACCCTGTCTGCATGTCACATGCAGCCAGGAGGTCGACAACATCAAGTAGTGAGCAAAGGGGGCGCCTGGGTGGCTCAGGCGGTTAAATGTCTGCCTTCAGCCCAGGTCATGATCTCAGGGTCCTGGGATCATTCCGCACGTCGGGCTCCCTGCTCAGCGGGGAGCCTGCTTCTCCCTCTCCCTCTGCCTCTCCCCCTGCTTATGCGCTCTCTCTCTCTCTCTTTCTCTTTTCTGTCAAATAAATAAAATCTTTAAAAAAAAGTGAGAGGGCGCCTGGGTGGCTCAGTTGGTTAAGCGACTGCCTTCGGCTCAGGTCATGATCCTGGAGTCCCGGGATCACATCGGGCTCCCTGCTCGGCGGGGAGTCTGCTTCTCCCTCTGACCCTCTTCCCTCTCGTGCTCTCTCTCATTCTCTCTCTCTCAAATAAATAAAATCTTCAAAAAAAAACAAAAAATAAAAAAAAGTGAGAAAAGGCCACTGAAGACATCATTGTGACAGTTTCAACAGAACGGTAGGGTTAGAAGCCTGTTTATATGGAGGGAAGAGTAATTGAAGGAGATGGGGGGGAAAAACCCTCTAATGAATATTCTTTTTGAAAACTTTGGGAGTAAGAAAAGGAAGAGAGAAAAGACAGGTGCCAGGGATGGAAGCAAGGTTGAAGACAGACATTGTCCAGGCAGGGAAGTTGCGAGTGTATCTTTACACAGGGGAAGGAACGGGTGAAGAGGCTGAGCAGAACCTGGAAGGAGCTGTGTCCTGGAGACTGCAGAGTGGGGGATGGGAGCATGACTTCCTCAGAGACAGGAGGACCCAAGAGAGGACAGATGAGGAATTCTGAATTGGCACAGAAGGGTGTGGTCTCCAGCACCGGCCGATGTGGAGAGAAGGCAGTATGAAGATCACCTACTTCACGTAGATTTGATCTTCTTGATAAACAAGAAGTCTGGATATGTGCTGGTGGGTGCAGCCAGAGACTCTGTGTGAAGAAGATCTGGAAGAATCGCTCTAGGAAATGGTCTATAAGCCAGTAAGACATGAATGAAAGATTACCAATGGCAGCGGCCTGGATGACATCAGGCTGAATGAATTTGAGAATGGCGGGCCCAGTTATTACAGTTTTTTGCCTTTCTCTAGCAGCCTAATTCTTGCACACCCTATTGCTAGGGATGCACCAGAAAGGAGATTTCCTTCTAGAAACTACCATTTGGTAATGAACGATACTTTCTGTGCTACCGAGCACAGGATACACATACGTATCTTCTCCTTACTAAGAGCCTTTGGCACTAAATGCTGTCCTTTGAGGTCCTCTTCTTTCAGAAAGAACAGAGAAGTAAACACTCCCCACCTGCCTTTGGCCACAAAGGTTTGGGGAGTTGGGTGATCACAGTGTGTCAGCAACTTAGCAACATGGTCTTCAAAGATCCCTCCCTTTTCTGATTCTCTTCACAGGGATGGCCTTATTAGTAAAGATGAAATGATGGCTTACTTCCTGCGAGCTAAGTCCCAGTTACACTGTAAAATGGGACCGGGATTTGTCCATAATTTTCAGGAGATGACCTATCTCAAGCCAACCTTCTGCGAACACTGTGCAGGATTTGTAAGTCTGTTTTCTCTTGTTTTCTCTTGTGCGTAATTTGTGCCTCATTCTGAGAAGGTAGGAAAATGATACACCAACGGAGTCCATTGTCTGCTTTAGGTCAGAAGTAAAATATATGACGACTCCCTGAAATTAAAAACTTAAGTTAAAAGCAAAAGCAAACTCTGCAGGTTTCACTATGTTCTTTCGAGGCATGTAGGACTGGTGACAGGAAAGGGTAGTGAGGCTTGTTAACTCAAGAGAGCGTTTTGTCTGTTAATCCCTGCCAAGGAAATTGCGGCCCAAGGAGCCTTGGCATTCATCGCTAATACTCATAGCAGGTGCAATTAAGGGGATTATTTATCTTAGCCAGTTCCTCCCAATTCTTGCTTCATGTGATGTCAGTCACTAGAAATCCATCATGGCATGGCTCAGTGATTCATAACTCAAAAGGAAAAAAAATCTTTTCGGAGGGAAGATAGTTATGATAATAAATAACATTTATTTGGCACTTGACAGTAATGAAGTACTTCCATACACGTTAATGTAATTAATCCTCATAACTAGCTCATGAGGCTAATGTTTTATTCTCCCCATTTGCCTCTCAGGACAGAGAGGTTCAGAGGGTATAAGTTTCCCGGGACCCTGCAGCCCGTAATTACCAGGGCCAAGGCTCAAACACAGGTGTTCTGACTCTAAATCCCATGCTCTACCTACACGACTGCATAAACTGAAGATTTTACACTTCAGTTCTCCACATTTGATAATTCTCTGGCAACTAAGGGCAGCGTTGGCCCTGATACTGAACAAAGACTCATGCGCCCTGAAAGTCTCTTTGTTGCCCAGGTTGTAGAAGATGAAAATGTGGTCCTCTAGGTGAGGCTGGCCCGGCAGCCCGCATGACTACTACTTCTTTGTCCAGAGGCCAGAACTCAGTTGTGTTAGCTTCATTCAGCCATTGTGTTCCCCTGGCGACCCATTTGAACTCACAGCTGCTATCATATAGTACTGCAAAAATAACAGTTTTCCCATCCCATGCTTGAAGGACTGGCTTTGAGGGGCCCAAGGACAGGAGTTTGTGTTCAAGCACATCCCCCCCTGAGAATGGGTGAATAAGAGGCAGTAGTTACCTCAAAGATGGCCCCAGGTGGTCACTGCAGCAGATGTGGTCAAGGGGCAAGGCCAGCCCACCCAGCTCTCCTCGCCCACCCCAGAGAAGGAGAGATTCTTCTTCTGTCAGCTTCACCCCCAGTGGGATTTCATCACCTGACCACTTTTATCATACAACAAATATGTCTTCTTTTTCATATTTCTTTCCTCTGATGGGAAATCTTGGTTGTATCTACACCTGAAAAATGCTGAAGTAGGATAGGGCCATGTGCAACTCTTCTGCAGAGTGGGGCCCAGTGAATCTGTTAGGCCATGGCATAGCTCCACCGAAAGTCAGGTTGAGACATCTGCACTTTGGTATGGTGTGAGAGTTGGCGGGCTCTTATCAAATCTCAAGGTCTTATCTGTGCTCTCTAGTCCTTCTGGGTATCTCCCCCTTCTGTGGAGGCACGGGTTCTGTAGAATCAACAAGGTGGTCTTTCTCAGGAGCTTCCACACTTCCCTTCCTGACTCATCAGAGCAGGTTTGCTGGTGCTAGGTTCTTGGTGCATCTGTGATAAGGGACGAAGCTCTGGATTTGAGTCTGGAACCCTGACTTTGAATCTCAGTTCTGCCCTTATTAAATCTATGTCCTTGAGCAAATTATTGATCATCTTTGAGTCTCTGTTTTCCTATCTGTAAAAGGGAGTTAATTAGCACTCCCAGTCCAGTGCTCCTTACACCATAGACCCTCCAAATCCTAAAGCAACCTGAGGTCTCAAATCAAAGGACTGTGGGAAGTATTCCTATACACCCATCTCCATGATGTCACTGTCTCCTGTCTGTGGCTGGCACACTGACCCAGAGCCCCTTCCTGCCTTGTGTCGTCTCCTAGTTATTAAGGAGCGTTAGCAAGCAGTCCCCTGAGTTTCCCTCCTGATAGGATTCAGGCTTCACTCTATCTTTTCTAGCAGTTCCTGCAGCTTTGCTAATAATGTGCCATATCTGGATATTAGAATGCTTCTTCTTAAATCTTATCCTTTCTTGTCCTATATCAGTGGCTTTTGCTCACACACAAAACACCCAGGAGCAGTGGCTTCCGATCCTTCCCTCATGTGACACGTCCTTCTTTCCCTGCTCACTAGCAACTGACTTTGCCAAGTGACTTCACCTCTCGAGAGCCCAGTCTGTATATACATAGCATTGGATGAGTGAATACACATAAAAAGCTTAAAACTGTGCCTCTCACACAACCAAAGTTAATAAATGTTAGCTATCATTACTATGGGTATTACTATCACCAAGGGCTCTGTGAGGAAACAATTTCTTATCACTGCAAAGTTTCCCAGATGTGGGACCTTGCAGATTATTTAATTCTTTGGATCGTTCCACTCACCTTTTATGGGAGAAAAGCAAACTCAGTTATCTTGAAGGTCCCTGTATCTCTGACATGATGGCATTACCCCAACCCCACTTCCCTTTTCTGTATAGACTGCCCCTCATCTCTCCCGGTCATCCTAGGTAACTGAGGCCTTGCAGCCAGTTAGTTGTCTTCATAATCCTTCCTTCCCAGGACACATTTACATCTTAATAGTGTACTCCGGAGGACCCGCTAACTTTTAAGACTCAAAGGAATGACTTTCCACTGGTGGAATTTCCTTGTCAGAAAGAGGGTAAGGATCAGTCTTCCTGATGCCTCAAGTCACTTCACATTGGCAACTTTTTATTCTTCTTGTAGGGAGGGTCGTGAACAATGCCACACTCAGGGCATTGTTCCCCTATCATACATGTAAATGACACCCCCATCAGCCCCAGTAGGCCACCGGCCCTGTTTCTTTCAAAATCATTTTATTACAAAGATATCAGTCACCTAATCTAACCACTAAAAGGTTAAAAATGGGGGTTTTGCCAGCTTGAGCTAAGCCCACTGAATTCATCAATATTGTATGTTTCTGTGTCCCTGGGACCCGTGTGCAATGCTGAGAGGCATGGGGAAGAACACAGTGTGTCAGGAGGGCAAACACACTACCCGCAGGATGATCCTCTGAGCCACCTGGGCAAACACCCCCTCCTTAAACTGTAGGCCCTCACATCTCTCCTGAGACACTCGTCACTTCCTACATCCTCCTTCCTCTGTGGTTGGCAGAATCGGAGTGTTTTCTGCATCTCCCTAAGCCCTGGCACAGGTGAAACACTGAGCAATCAGAGAATGAATACATGAACAAATAGATCTTTTCCTTTTCTATATTCTTTCAAGGCAAAAATGCTCCTCAGAAAAGAACCTAGCGCCATGCAAATGCTTTAGTGGGATATGCACCCGGGTAGGTTGCTTAATTTCCTGTAGAGGGTGCCAAGAGCATCTGGAGTGATGAAAAAGAAGGCAGAGGGAGCTGGGGGCTTCCAAAAACAGTGACAATCTCCCTGGTAAATTGAGCTGAGAGCGCATTATACCAAAGTCCAATAAATGTACCAACGTCAGTTTCCCATCCCGGCTCCCATTTGGCTTTCAGAAAGAAAGGGAAGCAAAGCTGTTATCACCCCAGCTGCAGTGAACTTCTATCTGACAGGAAGGGTGTCAGGATCAGCTACATCCTGTTTGTGCTCCACCAACCATCATGCTTCCCAGGACTTCCTTCTCTCTGGCCTTGTTTCTTTTTTTTCCCAGATTTTAATTCAGGTTCTCTGACATCCTTCTGTCTTTTGTTTCAGCTCTGGGGCATAATCAAGCAAGGATACAAATGCAAAGGTAAATAAATGTTATTCGGTAAAATTTTAAAATGTGACATGTGGGGCAGGAATCAAATTTCTCTGATGAAACCACAAAAACTCTTGGCATCATGGAGAACTCGGCTCTTTGGGCCACTGGCAACTGAAGAGGTAATGTGTCTAGGGGAAAAAAAAAAAAAAAAACCTAGAGTTTTGGAGAGGCCCAACTGGAATTTTATAGTTTGTTGTGAGAGCAAGCAAACCATCCTTATCAAGCCACGTACACGTGGCCCCGTCTCTAGGATGTCTTGTGAATCATCAGCACACAATTAGGGTGGGAAATCTGGAGTAGGACAGGCCTAACTAAAATACCATATGAAAGAACCTTGTCCTTCATGTGAATAAGCACACACACTCATTCCTGTAATACATGCCTTTCCGCTCTCACAGGTAGCTTTTCCTTTCTCCACTAAATCAGAGATGATAAAAAAAGAGGAGAAGCCTTAAAACTTATTTTTGTTCCTTTCAATGAATTTGTTCATATAGTTCTCCATTTTATTGAAATTTATAAACAAATATGTACTTGATAAATGCAACACACATGCATATTAATAGGCACTTAGGACTGTGTTGTTTACTTATGCATATATGATCATTATATATTATTGGTGTTTAAGAAATTGCTGGATAGCTTATGCAGACTATTTGTATTGATGGTTTTAAGAATCCGACAATGCTCTTAAAAGAACTACAGAAGGAAACTTCTTCACCACAGAATGCCTTCAGATTAATACTATTCCCTTAGGGTGTCTTTTTTTTTTTTTTTTCCTCTAGCTATCTTTCAGGCTTGAGCCTCGTGTTGTATGAACAGAGTTCCCTGAAGCTAGATGGGAGCCACCTTTTAGTCTCAAAAACCTTCCCTTCAGTTCCTGGTATTAGTTGTCTGAGTGTAAATTGGATTTTTACTTTCAAGCAGCAAAAACACCGCAATATCTTACCACCTAGCCATAGTTTTATTCTCGCTTCTGACCCTTATCCTCTAAAAAGACACAAACACACACACATGCACACACACATATAAACACACTTTTATGGAGATGAAAATCAATTAAGCCCTTGGATCATCTGTGTGTATACAGTATTTTCTCTTAAAGGCAATGCAATGAAAAACTTAATTAAAATAGACAACATTTCATTTTAATTTGGTCTTTCCATGATGTCATTACAAGAGCATTTGAAATAAGACCATTTGGGGGAAAAGCAAGTATCTGAAAGAGTTAGAAAGGGCCTGTTTGATAGTGAGAGAGAAATATGCTCTTTAAAATGATCCTATCTGGGGCGCCTGGGTGGCTCAGTTGGTTAAGCAACTGCCTTTGGCTCAGGTCGGGATCAAGCCCCGCTTTGGGCTCCCTGCTCAGTAGAGGAATCTGCTCCTCCCCCTCCCCCTGCTCTTGTTCTCCCTCTTGCTCACTCTTTCAAATAAATAAAATCTTTAAAATAAAATGATCCTATCTGTTCAGTAATTCTAAAAGAAATGTAGGACCCTCTATGGGAAATAATTGTGTTGCTCTTTTCCAAAGCAGCCAAAGTTTCTACCCCAAGCAGCAATTAATAGTCTGCTTTCTTAACTAAAGCATTCTAATGGGGGATTTCACAGAGTCTACTGCTGTTTCAAAGCCATAAAGTCAAATCTGGAACATGATACTGGGCATAAGCCCACCTTGTTTTCTGTTTCTATGCAAAGAAAGAAAGCAGGACATAAGATCACTTGTTCTGGAAAAGATTTGGAGGAATGAAGAAGAATAAAAAAAATGCGAGTGAATACTGAATGAAGGGACACCTCGCTGTAAATGAAGAGAGGCAGCTGTTGGTCCTGGGAGATACTAGAAGCTGGGTTTTCTTTCCCTCATTCTGGCTCATTGATGGAGAATCTGTCTTGGCCTGGAGAAAACCCCAGTCCCATGGAATTTGCATTTAGTTTGGGGCAAAGACAACTCCTCACTAGGTCTGTTCCCTGCTTGTTTGCTCCCCAGCACCTCGATGAATTGTGCAGAAGTAGTTGAACAAATGTGAGAGGAACCCCAGGAAGGCTAGCAAGTCCCACTGGCCCTTTTCCAGCCCCTGGCCACACCCTGCAGGCCTGAGCCAGACTCTGAGTCAACACGGGAAGGGGGATGGGGAGGGCACAGCTGACAGCTCAGGTGCTACCCTGGAGGCCCAGTCAGCACCAGATGCACTTGGTTCCCACTAATCGTCTGTGATACTTCGGGATTTTTCAGACTGTGGAGCCAATTGTCACAAACAGTGCAAAGACCTCCTGGTTCTGGCCTGTAGGAGATTTGCTCGGGCGCCCTCCTTGGGCAGTAGTCATGGGTCGCTGCCTGGAAGTCCCTCGTTGCCCCCAGGTAATAGCCTCTGCTTTTTTTCTACCTCGATTTCTTTCTGCTTGCCTTCCCACACTCGGACTTCTGTTGGGTTCTGGATCTGAACCTGCTCAGAGTCATTGATACCAAGACCTATTTCAGGGTGAGTTGCTGTGGCTACACCCTTGACTCCCACTTGCTTCTCTCTGCTTTCAAGTCTCACTTCTCTGCAGCTCACCTGCAGCCTGTTTGGGTCTGCCTCTGGTCTGTCCCTCTAGGTCCTTGCCCATTGGACTCCTGTTGTTTGCACCAACTTTGATGGTTTGCTATAAAGCAATCGGATGTCAAATAATCACAACAGTCTCCCCCCTTCCAGTGCAGGATGAGGTGTTCGAGTTCCCTGGCGTCACTGCTGGACACCGAGACCTGGACAGCAGAGCCATCACGCTGGTTACAGGCTCTTCTCGCAAGATCTCCGTGAGGCTGCAGCGGGCTACCACCAGCCAGGCTACCCAGACCGAACCTGTATGGTCAGAGGCTGGCTGGGGGGACTCAGGGTCCCACACCTTCCCCAAAATGAAATCCAAGTTCCATGACAAAGCAGCAAAGGACAAGGGTTTTGCCAAGTGGGAAAACGAGAAGCCCAGGGTGCAGGCTGGCGTGGATGTGGTTGACCGGGGCACCGAGTTCGAGCCTGACCAGGATGAAGCAGATGTGGGTGAGACCAGACAGGACGGTGAGGTCAGTTCTGGGTGAAACTACAAGTAAAATCACAAGAAGGAGGCTCAAAGGGCCAAGACGAACATTACAGTGAGTCCAGGAGACAGCCTCATAGTTGTGAGAGCTGACTGGTTGGGCATTAATACATACTACCTTTCATCTTGCTGTTGGCTAGTTATGTGATCCCAGGCAAATTATTTCTTCACTTTGCCCCTCAGTTTCGTCATGTATAAAATGGAACCAGATGGGTTCTAAAGCTTAGTGAGGCTGCCATTTCTGTGTACTAAAATGATGTCCCAAGGATCCATGACTTACTGGGTGTACCTGATAGGCCAGTACCCTATACCAGTGAGTTTAGTTTTCCAAGCTAGAATCAGGGCCCAAACTCGGGGTCGGGGAGAGAAAGTGATGGGCAGTGGAAGCAAAAGACTTGCAGAGAGAGAAGAGTGGCTTTTGACAGCATCATGGAGAAGGGGGTGGTGAGAATCAGAGACATGAGAGCCTCAAGGTTCTATAAACCAGGGTTTGGCTCCACATAAAAATTACATTCACATCATCCAAGCATATGGAATTTGTTGGAATAAGCTGAAAATATAAATTGATTCAAGATAGACTTAGATAAATTTATTAGTCAACAGTCCATAGTTTATTGAGAAGAAAGATTTGGGGAAATTGGTGTCGTATTCCTAACCTTTCAAGCTGTGCCATGGAGGGCAGCCATCACCTCTCTATGGAGTCATTCTCATAAACAGAATTATTGGGTTAGGCAGAGATTCTATTGGATCAAGCCAGTGCTCTTTATTCTTAGGTGGTCCTCCACATTCCACTCTTTAGGAGACCTAAACACACAGTCTCCTTGGTTTCCCATGATGAGAAAAACTCCAATGACCTTTACAAAATTCCTCTAGTTCCTTCCTCATTGAAGACAGTTAATAAGGAGGCCACAAATTATCTTCAGTCTCATGCAGTTTATTGTAAGTTCCTGCTGAGCCACTTTTTCCTTTCTTATAACACCAACTTTTGAAAACAGCTGTATTGAGACCTAATTTATGTACTATAAAACATACTCATTTAAAGTATATATAGGGCGCCTGGGTGGCTCAGTCGTTGGGCGTCTGCCTTCGGCTCAGGTCATGATCCCAGGGTCCTGGGATCGAGCCCCGCACTGGGCTCCTGCTTGGCGGGAAGCCTGCTTCTCCCTCTCCCACTCCCCCTGCTGTGTTCCCTCTCTCGCTGTGTCTTTCTCTGTCAAATAAATAAATAAAATCTTTAAAATAAAAAAATTATATAATTCAGTGGTTTTTAGTAGTCACAGAGATACACAACCATCACTACAATCTAATTATAGAACATTTACATCATCCCCTGGGGATGCCTGGATCGCTCAGTCAGTTGAGCATCCGGCTCTTGATTTCAGCTCAGGTCATGATCTCATGGTGGTGGGATTGAGCCCCACATCAGGCTCCACACTCAGCGTGGAGTCTGCTTGTCCCTCTCCCTCTATTCCTGCCCCCACCTACTTGTGCTTTCTCTCTCTAAAATAAGTAAATAAATAAAATCTTTAAAAAAAAAAACAAACCATTTATGTCATTCCCAAATGTACCCATTAGCGGGCACAGCTCATCTCCCCTACCTCATCCAGCCCTAGGCAACCCACTAATTTACTATAGATTTGCAATGCCAACTTTATTTTTAACATTTCTTCATTGATTATCTTGACAAATGTTTCAGTCCTATCCTTCCATTTCTTCTACTGGCCTGGCAAGTTCAAGCTGGGAATATAAAGGTAAAAAGGAAAACTTTCCTGATATTATGACAGAAGAAGATATCCTAGGGAAGGGATCTTAACCTGGGGTCTAAAGAAGGGCCTCAAGGAGTTCATGAAAGTGTATTATACTTTATGTGAAATTACATATGGACATATGCTCATTTCTGGAGAAAGGGTCCACAGCATTGAACAGATACTCAACGGGGTCTATGACACTCCCAAAAAGTGAGAAATCACTGTGCACAATTCTTTGAAATTGTGCTAGTCACCCCATTATCACCTAAGCCTATAGAGGCTGTTTCCATGAGCAATGTGGCTATAATTAAAATCTCATGAAAAACAAGCTTCTATGGGTAGAGTCGTAGGATGCCTACCTAGAGCTTTCATGATGGTGCTCACCTTGTGGACCACCTCCGAATTCAGAGGAGTACTTGCTTTTGCTTAATAAACCATGAAACTAGCTATGAGCTCACTTCTATTTGCCTAGCACTGTTTAGGGTACTTAAACCTTGCTCCTGGCTTAAGAGAAATTCACTGCCTGTTAGATGTAGGACAATCACTTACATGAGTAGGATTTCCTGATCTTCAATAAGGAAATAGAGACAAAAATCTGGATTTTTTAAATTTAATTTTCTTCTTTGAAAATTGAATATTTATATTCAAGTATTATCTTACCCTTTCAATTTTCTCATGTCATAAATCATAGAGATGGTTCACTGGCTAGTATTCAATTTCATGTGTGCTAATTAAGGAAGACAATATTTTTGTATATATCATGCATATGGTATACATTGTCCTTCTCATCCAAATCAGTAACAAATGAAAAGACTATTTACCCTTGTTGAGGGAAGAAAGTAAAAAGGAAAAAATGTGACAAAATTACATCAGAGTTGATTATGTAGACCAAGGGGTTTTCATATTTAAGAATTTTTTTCTGCCAGGCAAGGCAATGAATGGCATTCAGAGAAATGATCTACAGATGTATTATTTAGAATCAGGCGATGTCTATGAATCCTATGAGTAAAAATGATAGACCGACAGAAAAGACAGTTACATGTATAATCTATGTATTTCCTTTGGTGGAGTTCCAGGATTTATACTCATTTTAAAATACAAGTGTGTGAACATTTTTTGGGACTATGCATATCATTTCTGCAATGATCATTGAGCCCCTGGATGGCAGGGACAATGGCAGGTCATGATTACTCTCTTGGCAGTAAGAATATGTATATTTTCTTTATAATGCTTCTTTGTTTTCCCTTATCTTCTACTAAATTAAATCTAATTAACAAATATCATAGAAGGGCTAGGAAATGCTGAAGTAAATAAAGTTTGATATGTTTACGTATATCTCTCCCTACATATTTCTCTATATACCTATATATATCTCCCTCCCTCCCTCTGTGTGTGTGTGTGTGTGTGTGTGTGTGTGTGTGTGTGTATATATACACACTGTTTTCCCTTACAAATTTTCCCTTATACAAATTTACATTGTGGATTTCTAAGAGGGAAACCTCAACAAGAAGCATTTCATAGACCAGGGTCTTGTGGAGCACCTTTTAGGGCATTAATGTAAGCAACCCTGTTGGACTCTGTAGGATTTAAGATTTCATAAGCCATGTAGACTACACGATCTTTCCCTCTATATCTTGAGTGCACAAAGTACTGATCATTTGGGATGTTCCCTCGAATGTCACAGGTAAACTGCTTTCTAAGAATATTCTTGCTTGGTTAAATGCGACCCAGCTATACAACAGATTCTGATTCATATTGCAGGATGGCTGACTTCAGGCTGAGGACACTGCAGGCAATAGTGTTGGCATTTGGAAGGAGCAAGATGAGAAATTCTGAAGAACACTCCCAACTCAGGAACTTATCTGAAAAGATATCTTGGACTTTTACTGCCTGGTGACACCATGGGGTCTCCCTGATTGGACTGTGGGACAGAGGATTTACCCTATGAACTATTTATTTCCTCCTCCCCAGGCCCTAGTCAGGTGTCACCAAGTCTGGGTGATGTAGTTGGTAGATTTCTCTGTATCTTTCCCTAGAGCCATTTATATATGAGTGAAGTGAAAGCTTGTCTGCATGTACTTGATACTCATTCTCTAAACTCTACTTTTTTGTGAGAATATTATTTCGGTATTTTGTAAACTTTGGGTGGGGAGGAGTCAATTTAGAGGTCTTTGTGTGTGTGTGTGTGTGCTTTTTGGAAGGGACCAGGACTTGTTTTCTTGAGGGACAAGAAAGCTCTTCAGATCCTGGAATGAGGTGGTTCTTCTAATACAAGGAGATGTTTACATTGTTCTTACCCTACAGTTGCTATTACGATGTGTAACAAGTCATACATTTATATTCACATAAGTCTTACCAATTCTGCATCATAAGGAAGCTATGACACAGCCGTGGAAACTCTCCTGGTATTTATAATTGCCATGGGGGAAAATTAAGTATACTTGTCTTAGTGACTAGGTTTAGCCATCTTCCTTAGGACTCCTGTTAAGACTGCCAGTAAGAAATTTGGATGGTGATTACAAAATCAATCAAAGCTTCAGGGGATAAAATTTAGGTGAAAAACAAACCAACAAGCAAACCACTTAGTGAAATGAAAAACAATCAGCAATTCTTTAAAAACTCAAAATAGTTTTAAGAACTTTGCTAAAAATGAAAAGTTTTGGTTATAAAAGAGAACTTTTGTCGTCTTCCTAAGAAATTGCCACCCATACTTAAAAGAATAGTCATAGAAATCAAATCATCAGAAACCACCTTGGATTAACATTTCGTTTCAGCTTTTAAAGTATCAGTATTTTCAGTGTTTCCTTTTGACCTAAATAACTGGACATGGGTCTGTTTTTTATATGATTAGAGGAGAGCAAATTTAGTTCAAGGTGTTCAAATAGAGAGATTGGATTGAGCCAGTGGACGAGGGGATTGACCTGCTGCCACGTGGCCCGTGAGAAATTGTACCCACAGAAGTGCACTCATTTTCACTGGGAGTTTAAATGTGTATACCATATAAAACTGAATTTATTTCTATTTGGGGCAGTCAAATAGTAAATTTCTTCAGTAAAGAAATGCCTTTCTTCTCTTTTTCCATTAGATAAAATTGAGGACAGTTCTACTTAGCAAACACTTGACCACCTGCTCTGGGCAGGTGCTGCGCTAGATGCACAAAGACAAGCAACATTTGATCTCTATGCTCAGGAGAGATGGTTCCTTAAAGTACAGTTCCAGATTTGCTAGGACAGACTTAATTTGCCAAACAGATTGAGAAATCAATTTGCAGAAATATTGCAAATTAAATGAAGTTATTAGTTGAGGGAGCTTTGAATAATCTATGTAATAAGAGAACTCACCATTTGCAAAGCACCTCAAAAAGCAAGCAGCCATCCCCGAGTGTTGGCTTTGTGTATATATACGATCTATTCCTATTCATAAATGCAATGAAATACATGTTAACAAAATTAAAAAACAGAAAATGGCAATTTAAGTACAAGAAGATTCTTGCGTGTTTTTTTTTAATTTTAAGAAAACTCAGGAAGAAAATTTGGATTATTATTTTTCTTCTCAAAGCAATTATTTCACTTGTCACTTTGGGTTATTTTTGAGTTTTCATATATAAGAAGAGTTTTATATTATCAGCCTTCCTGTGACAAAGATATTAAATGTACCTCAACTAAAAAGCAAATACAACAAAGAAAATAAAACAAACATATATTTGTGTGTATATGTGTATACACACACACACACACACTATTATGACTTTGCTAAAGAGGAATCTGTGTCCACAATGAAGCTGCTTTATAATGTTGATTATATTATTTACTTACAACCAATGGTGACAAAAATGTTTCCAATCTGTCAGTTTCCCATTATCAGTAATATAAGTAAATTAGGCAAACCCATGGTGAAGCAAAAAAAAAAACTATGACATTTGGTGCCTCCAGACCTCATTTTTGTAGGTTTAATGATCATTAACACCTTTTAGGTGAAAGGCAAAAGCAAAACCAGACTCTTAACAGTGACTATTATCAGGTACCAGGAGAGAATACGTTAGATGCTGCAACTGAGTCTTCTTTGAAGGAAGTACAAATTGGATTGATGCTTTTTTATTTTTTTATTTTTAAAGATTTTATTTATTTATTTGACAGAGACACAGCAAGAGAGGGAACACAAGCAAGGGGGGTGGGAGAGAGAGAAGCAGGCTCCCCACTGAGCAGGGAGCCCAATGTGGGGCTCGATCCCAGGACCCCAGGACCACAACCCGAGCCGAAGGCAGACGCCTAACAACTGAGCCAGCCAGGTGGCCCGGATTGATGCTTTTTTTTAGATCTGCCTAACCAGAGGGTGGCCCTAATTGGTATTGAACACTTTATGTTAGTGGCATCCTCCCAAAGCAATAATGTCCCCAAATGTCCATGGTAACAGAGTCTCTCCAAAGGTCCAAAGGGCTTGCTGTTTAACAATGAAGGCAGGACTCCCAAACTGTTGTTGATGGTAGGAACCTTAGCATTCCTAAAACAAACACATTGATTTTTGAGGAGGTAGATTCAGTCAAGTGAGATATTGCAGCATGCCTCTGGCTTGCAATTTGCAATCAGATTCAAAGCCCATCTCTGCCAGTTGTAGTCATGAAACCCTGGGCAAGTCATGTACATCTGCTTGAGCCTCAGTTTCCTCATTTGAAAAGGAAAGATTTCACCACCTTCCTCAACCACCTCACAGAGCTGTTGTAAAGATCAGGTCAAATAGTATAGGTAAAAGTACTTTGTAAAGGCCTAAAAGTAAGTCAATATTACTTTGCAGTTAAGCAGGGTTCTTTTCTAAAATTGTCAATAAGATCCCAGACTATGTGTTTATATGGCTGTGTACTTCGGAGGCTCTAAACCCAACATTTGACTAAATTCTGTACCCAAAAAGAATTATTTAAATGGAAAAGTATAAATGAAAAATATTTAAAGGGGTTTTCTTATTCCTGGCACTATGTGTGTGTAGGGTTAATTCTGGTCTATTTCCTAACATTGGCTATTCTCTCTCTGTTTGAAAATGGGTAGGCAAGATTAAGAAACCAAATGGGTAAAATGTAAATGAGTTTAGAGAAATATAGGTTAATGCATAGCTAGGCTTAAGAGGTTGGCTCTTGGAGGAATTTAGTTTAATAGAGACAGAAAAGAGGAAAACAATTAACTTTTAAAATAAAAAGTACACCATTCATTTGATAACCAGAATATATTTTACACCTACTGAAGGTGGTCATGGTAGGAAACTACTTGGGATTTAAGGCTCATCAGGAAATCGCTTCCTCCAACTTGCATCCAAAACTTGCCTGTTGGAAGTCTAGAGCGTACTCAGACCTCAAACAAAAGTATCAACTTTATTTTTTTTAAATGTTAATAACATGCACATTGGAATGCATATCTATTCAGAAACGAAGTGACTTGCAGTTTGTACAAAATAGCCTAAGGAAAGCATTGCTTGGGAGCATTCTCTAAGGCAGCTGACCTGAAACTTCAAAAATAAAATGTCATTTAAAAAAAAAAAAAAGGGGGACGGAGCAGTTCTGGATCAAATGAGACACATTAACCAAATGAAACACAACAGCCACATACCGCGTTGTAAACCTTGATGGGATTTTGGATCAAAAAATAAATAAAGCAGACACTTTGGGGGCAGCAATTAGGGAAATTTAAATATGGACAACAGCATCCCCCTTCTCTGCAGCTCTGATTTCCACAGTTCCAGTTACCTGCAGTCAACACCTGTTGGAAGCAGGTGCTTCTCTTTCTGACCCATTGTCAGAAGGTCAAAGGTCAATAGTAGCCTAATGCGACGTCACAACGTCACAACGCGGGCGTCACTTACCTCACTTCTCAACAGGCAGGCAGTTTGTAATTGCATCATCACAAGATGGCGAAGGGTAAGTACAGCACAATAAGATACTTTGAGAGACCACATTCACATAACTTTCATTACAGTATTTTGTTATGTTCTATTTTATTATTAATTATTGTTAATCTCTTACTGTGCCTAATTTATACGTTATACTTTATCATAGAGGAAAAAAATGTAACATCTATAGGTTTCAGTACTATCCCCGGTTTCAGGCATCCCCTGGGGGGTCTTGGAACATAATCCCCGCTGAGGGGGAATACTGTATAAATTAAATAACTTAGGGGATGAAAGTTTATTCACTTCAGTGTGATAATGGCTTCGTGGTTATATAAGAGAACATCTTCATTTTAGGAGATGCCTGCTAACGTAGTTAGGGATGAAGTATCCTATCTGTATTTACTTTAAAATGGTTCAGTGAAGAAAAAGTTTTTGTGTAGAGAGAGAACGGGAATGTGGCAAGATGTTAACTATAGTTAAATCTATCTAAAGGGTCTGGATATTCATTGTACTATTTCTTAAGCTTTTTTGAAGTTTTGTAGTTAAAAAAAAAAAGTAGGGAAGGGGCACCTGGGTGGCTCAGACATTTAAACGTCTGCCTATGGCTCAGGTCATGATCCCAGCGTCCTGGGATCGAGCCCCACATTGGGCTCCCTACTCAGTGGGGAACCTGCTTTTCCCTCTCCCTCTGCTGCTCCCCCGCCCCTCCAAATCCCCCGCTTGTGTGTGCGCTCTCTCTCTCTCTCTCTCTCTCTGGCAGATAAATAAAATCTTTAAAAAAGGAAAAAGTAGGGGAAAAGAAATCATTACTTCTACTCTGACTGGAAATCATTTAAAAAACCACAAGGAGAATAAAAAGAAAGAAGTTCCATTTGCAGAGCGACCAGGAGGAATCTGAAATCCTATGCCCAACAGGAAAGGTGGGCCCCAGGGTATCAGAGATTGGGCAGAGACTTGCAGGAGGACCTGGAGAGAAATTGCTGTAGTAGAGAGATTACAAACAAACACAAACAGCTACAAGTCCCCTCTCAACACAAAGAGGCACATTCAAAGAGCATATCCTCAATCCTTTGTTCACAACAGAAAGAATGCATGGACCAGCCAGTGGCAGGAGCTTTCTGGACCTGGTTTGGTTCGCAGAAGCAGAGCACACAGGGAATTTTTGCAAGAAAACCATCTGTCTCTACCATAGCAGAGTGCTACAGTCTTTTGTGGTGGAAAAAAAAATCCACAATTGCCAATCTCTGCCTATTAGCCTTTGCTAATTGGAT